TATTTTATTTTTTAAAACATATTATTATAATTTATACAATGGATTATTTTAATAATTTTTAAATAAAAGTAGTATAATTACACATATATATAATTAGAATTTATCGAACCAATTTTGTTGTAGTTTTGAGAGAGAAAATGAGAGCTAAAAGTGTGTTTTAGATAATTTGATTAAATTTCTTTAAAAAAAAAATCATAGGTTTTATTTGCTTTTTTATGCATATGAGTAGAACTTATCGAACTAATTTTGTAGTGGTTTTTATTTTGATTTATTCACTTCGATATATTTCATACAATTTAGGTGAATATATATGAATGAATCATTAGTGTTCCAAAAAATTAACTATTTATCTATTCACTTCAATATATTTCATACAATTTAGGTAGGTTTATATATACATGAATAATTAGTTTTGTTAGAAATTAACTATTTATCCGCACACATAACACTAATGATTGATTTTCATTTTTTTCATGTTCTAAAATATGTATTTTTAAATAAAATAATTTAAATAATGTTTTGAAAGAACCTTTCGATTATTCAAATACAAATTTTTTATGCTACTATTATTAATTATTTTGTTAATAAATATATATAAATAAAATAATTTTGTTCAATATATAGATTCAATTTACATTAATCACCAAAAACCAGATTTCTACTTGTACCACACCATATGAATCGTTAACCCCAAGTATGTAATGGTTGTCCGACCATAGCATGGGTATCTAACTAGTTAACTTTCTAAAAAATATGAGTTACCCAATAATTCTCATAACGTTGTTTAGGGATTAAAAAAAAACTAATAATTTTCTCATGCAAAAGGTTCTCACCGGTATCCTATTTGATCCAAGTTTTTTTTTAAAAAAAATTAATTATAGAACTCAAAGCAAACATCTTCATCCATGAATCATAAAATAAAATTTAAATGTCAAATCTATGCATAAAACCAGAAAACTCCTCTGTGAACCATAAGATAAAAATTCATACACTACATTAAAGAAAAAAATACAACTAAAAAACTAAAAACAAATTAGTTAAAAAATTAGGTTGAGGCTGGGTGAACCTCTAACTCGCTTATGTTTTTTACTTCGACCAAACAAAATTTAATTGGGTTCAATACACACCACACTCCTATACTTTAACGAAATTATTATCACAACTCATATATCTAGATATAGTCCATAACTAACCTTATACTATTGAAAGTTAGTGTAAATTAACCCCTCCCTTATGTTTTTTTATTAGTTTAACTAATTTCTATTAGTTGACCTATGAATGACCAATACAATATCGACACTTGTCATTTTAAGAGTGAAAACATAATTTTATTTTTACTTTGTTTTTTCGACTTTGTTTTAAGTTAAAATCATTTAAAATTAAAAAAAAAAAAGATATTGTGATAACTTTGTATTTGTTTCAACCCCATATTTTTAATTATGAAATAACCTTTGATTGTTACATTTCCAAGCTTTCTTGCATATCAATGACGAGTATGAGAGTGAGTTAAGAAACCTATTCTTGCTCTCCCTTTTTTCTTTCTCTTCAACACTTCTTTATCACTAAAATTTAAATCCCGCATCCAATTTGAAAAAACAAAAAAGCAAATACAATTCCAACATATATGACAAAGGACATGTCTAGATATTATGCATTATCTCTTAGAGTTTTTAGGGAATTACATATCTAGTATGTCATGGTCCGCTTTTCATTGAGCACGGTGGGATTATTGGCAACAATGGGATCCACCCGACCACCACCTTCCATACTAGAGAGAGCAATGAACTAATGAGGAGTTGTATCTGAATCTTGATTTGGTTGACGATCGACAATTGATTCCTCATCTCCTTCAAAACCCATAATAGGTCAAGATTGTGTTGATTTTTTGTTTCTTAGTTATGAGAGAGAGAGAGAGAGAGAGAGGTGTAGGCATTTAAGGATCTAAAGTGAAGATGAGAGATTTGAGATGAGGATAAAGAAAATGATTTGAAATGATTTTAACTTAAAAACAAAATCAAGAAAAACAAATTATGTTTTCACCTTTAGAATGATGGTGTAGATATTGTCTTAGTCATTCGTAGGTCAATTAACGAAGTTAGTCAAACTAACAAAAAACATAAAAAAAAAGGGGTTAATTTACACCAACTTTCAATAGTATAAAATCGGTTATGGACTATATCCGAGTATAAGAGTTGTAACGATAATTTCATTGAAGTATGGGGCCATAAAGTGTATTAAACCTAGATCAGATTTTATTCATTTCTTATTAGACCCTCATCAAATTAGATAAAAATCTAACCAAATCAAAAACCTGATGGATCCAGTAAAATTACTATCCTTGAATATATCCCATATTAGTTTGTGTAATAGTATCACTCCCATAACATTGTAATGCTAGTTTTGTCTATTTTCACATTTTCAAATTCTATTTCTATAAATAATGAAGAACTCCTATTTGGGAACATAGTGAAAAAGGATTGATGAATGAGTTACCCACTAAACCTCTAGAACTTATATGTGATAATGTTAATCATATGCATAGAGACACATCTCATGTATAGAGTTTATAATTGCTCTTCACGTGACTAGGTTTTACTATAATGAAAGCACTTTTATCTTGTTATGGAATTTTTATTGGTTTTTAGGTTTATTCTATAACTCTTAGATCATTTGCTTTTGTCTTCGCTCTTATTCTATATGACAAAAGCTTTCTCACTAATAATGTCTACCTCCCATCTTTTATTCTTTTTTATTGATTTGAAAATTTCCTTCATCCATTCCTTAAAGGGACCCTTTTTCGACAATATTCTCTTTGGCATACCTCTCAACCAACTCCACTCAAGTTTGACGATCGAAAAGCACCTCACATAGGTCCGTCATGCCTAATTTATCCCTCTCATCATCTCTCCGTATCTCCTCAAGTCTCTTTTTGAAATCGACAAGGTGCTCCTCCATTCTTAAAAGTCGCTCCTCTAAGGCAACCATCATATCACGGGACCTCCCATTTCCTTTCTTAAGCTAGGGAGGTAGAGTCTCCTTTCTAGTATCCATAACAACATCCTCAACACTAGAGCTAAACATGTTTACTCCTTGAATAGTTAGTCGTAAGCTTAACTACACTTGATAGAACTTAGTTTTAATACCACTTCTAAGAATCATCTCAATCTAAGAGGATTTGCTTGAATAAAAAGGACTCTAGTCGTTAAACAAGTGATCTCGGATTCGAGTTCTTATGCGTGAAAAAAACTCTATGGGTAGTTGTTGGCACCTTGTATGCATTACGGAATAACAAGGGATTCGTGTAGACTTTTGGACCTACGATATCCTAAAAGATTAGAGAGAGAGAGAGAGAGAGAGAGAGAACATGATGCCCTTAAGCATCTAAAAGGTTAATTTGTTATTTGGAGTCAAGCTACCAATAATCACTAATAGAGTTTTCTAATTATCATCTAAAAATAAGTTTTTTTCACAACTCAATATGTAATAATATCTCAATAATCAACAACTTATTCAAAAATTTTAATAATCACTAAGTTATTACTTATTCTTGTTTAACAAAGATATAAATCGATTGGGTTAAAATCAAGTTTTTGTATATTCTATATTCAAATTTATAATATTTCTTATCAATCTAGTCATATTGAATTAGGTTAGTGGCCTTATTGGTAAAGTATTTTGATTTTTAAAAAATAATTTATTACTAATTTACATAATAAAAAAAATTAAAACAAACAATATAAATTTAAAATAAAATCTTATAACATTCATATTTATTTATTTCCATAGGAAAAAAAATCAAATTCATAATAAGATGATGGTAATTTAACATTGCAAAAATTTTCAAATACATGTCCTAACATGAAGGAGGTTGAAAACCATAATATTGGGTCTAATTATAATTTTAAATCATGGATGCGGTTATAAAAACGATCGCAATGACGATTGCATATCACGATTTATTGTGTTGGTCAATTAACGATCATAGCAATTGAAATTGTGAATGTATTAGCAAGGCAATAGCGATTCATAAATTTATTTTAATTTACATATTTTTAATAATTTTACTAATTAAATATAATAATACTATCTTCAATAGTTTAATATCATACAACAATAGTTGAATTTACTTAAAAATAATAATAATAACACTTATAATAGTTAATATTACATCAACAATAATAAAATTCAAAGACTAATAAAACAAATTAAGTAAAAACCATTATTCATCGAATAACAATAAATAACAACATTGCATAACGATAATAGAATATAATGTCATTATTTGTGCAAAACGTCATTATATTTTTTGTAATGATATATAAAAATAATTAACATGTCCAAATCTATTTTATAACAATCATTATATTATAGTATGATGGTTATTTAAAACTATGAACCTAATAGAATGCAAAACCAATATTGAATTATATCCATTGCATCCAGAGAATATAAATAGCAACCACAACGAGAACTGGTTTGTTATTTGGAAGAATATTATATTACTCATAGAGTAACTAGTATAAATTGCTCTATTTTTTTTTTTTTTTAAAGATAGACACAAAAAGGAGAGAAAAATAAAAGAGAGAGAATTTTTTTTTTTTTTAAATGAGTTTGGATGGAAATTTTCTTATATTTTTTATGGGTGCGAATATGTTTTTTTTTTTTTTTATCTATCTCTATCTTAAAAAATGAACTAGTAAAGTAATTATTGTATTTATATAATAATTTCTCTTTGAATATTTTGAAATTTCTTATGTTATTTCTATTTTGATTTGAATTTATTCCATGTAAGTAATAAATAATAAATGTCAAGTAAATCCAAAACATAACAACTCATTAAAACTTTCACCAAAAAGGCCTTTATTTTTCTCCTACACAAGTCAATCCTGACCTGGCAAATTCGCGAAAAAAAAAAAAAAAAAACCCATAAAATCCATAGCAACAGCAGGCAGGTCAGTACGTAATGATAATTTATTAAAAAAAAAAAAAAGAGAGAGAAAATGGCAGACTCATACTGCCCAGACTGCAAGCGACTAACAGAGATAGTGTTCGACCACTCCGCTGGAGACACAATCTGCTCCGAATGCGGTTTGGTTTTGGAAGCACACTCTGTGGATGAGACATCAGAATGGCGAAATTTCTCTAACGAGTCTTCTGATCATGACCCTAACCGTGTTGGTGGCCCACTCAACCCTCTTCTTGCTGACGGTGGCCTTTCCACTACCATTTCTAAAACAAATGGTGGCTCCAACGAGTTTTTGTCTGGCTCTCTCGGGAAATGGCAGAGCCGTGGTGCCAATCCAGATAGAAACCTCATTCAGGCTTTCAAGTCTATTGCTGCCATGGCCGACAGGTTCGTTCTTTTTTATTTGCCTAAGTAAAAAGTTTGATGCTTTGCTACTCTTCTCTTTTGAAAAAAAAAATTTATGATTTTTCTTTCTTTCTTTTTGTTGTTGTTTCATAGAAGAAAAATTGAGGGAGGGAATGAAAGTTGTCCTTTTTTCTATTAAATATTCACTTTATACCGCTTACTCTGTACTCCGCCGTCACACAAAAACATGGTACGCACGAATTATTTTCATGGTGGGTCTCACCTATTTGTTGAGATATCGGAGTACAACTCTTGGCATACCTAATAATCTCTCTTGTTTAAAGATGATGTCTGACAACATTGGATTCAGTTATGTAGAAGTTATGGTGAATATGAGATTAGGGAAGCAACTACTTAATTCATGTTGACTTTGGAATTTTATTAGGCAATACTTTGAAAATTTTAAAGAAAAGAGTTTCTGATTCCTATGTTTTTTTTTTTTTTTGAGCGATGGAATTTTGATGTCTTCATTATGATTGCACAGATAACTGATCTATCAAATGTATGTTTCAGGTTGGGGCTGGTTACAACCATAAAGGTTTGTGTCGGTTACTGACTTCAAATCCTTCATGATCTTGTAATCTTTTGTTTGTTCGTTTGTTTCTTTCTTAGTTTTTAATTTTCACTACTATTGTGGCATACGTGACTTACCTATGGAAGCTTCGTAAATTATGTTTTGGCGAATTGAAACTTGATGTGATCTTGTTGAACCGATGCATCCAGTTGTTGATTTGACTTAATAATATTGATGTGGAACAAATATCAAAGTCCATTAAGGAAATGAAAAACAAAGATTAGAAAAACTGCGTTTTCTCTGCATGTAAAAACAAAGGTAAGAAAAACAGATTTTCTGTTAAAAAATATAACAAAGATAGATGGAAGTTATAAGGAGGGAGGGGGGCCTTTGGACTTCATTAAGCTTGTTTAAGTTGCACTTGGAAATTTGGTTGGAGTCGCTAAATTATCAAATGCAGAATCTTGGGATAATAGCTAACTGGCATGAGGACTTAATGTCTAGCACTCAAGTGGTATTGACTACCTTGAGGATGAAAACAAAATTCGAGGAATAGGCCATTTAATTTTGTTGACTGTAGATGCCAATAAATGAATTCTTGAGTTTTCAAATTTTAACGTGTGATATAGGAAATATAGCCGTTAGGACAAGCTAGTAATTCTTGAACTTGCAAATAATAGGTGGTATCTCTTGTAACCTTCATTGCGAAATGATAAAGTCTAGCTTTAACAATCAAATGCTTCCCATACTGAATAGCTTTTTCCAACTCAAAGCCTGCCTAGTGATATAGTTACAGTTTGTTTATGCTGTGTAGTGTTCTCATCCTCAGTTAAACTCTCTGCTTTTCATGGGGATCCTTTTTCTTGAATCTGCAACCAATCTCCTACATTGATGTTCCTGGCTCATATGGAAAACTGAATTAATTTTGTCATATAAAGCTTCGTAGAATTAGTATCAGACTCGGTGGTATTGATCTAGATGCAGAATTTAGAGAATCTGCATTCCTTTTGTAGTTATTTGTATTTTGATTATGTGTGTTAATGTATTATGTATAGTGATGGTCTACCTTGCTGCTTTCGGTTCTTGTAACCAAGAGCCTTTTGTCTTTTTTTTTTAATGATATTGGTTTCTAATCTTTTATTTTAAAAGGATCGAGCTAATGAGATATATAAGAAGGTAGAGGATCAAAAACCACTTAAAGGACGAAATCAAGATGCAATTTTAGCTGCTTGTCTCTATATTGCATGTCGACAGGAGAACAAGGCCCGAACTGTAAAAGGTAGACAGTGCTTTTGTTTTTTTTTAAAAAAAACTACTTGGTTATCTTCCTTTGTGCATAAAAGACCCTACATTTGTGTTTCTTCTAGAAATTTGTTCTGTTGTCAATGGAGCCACAAAGAAAGAAATTGGCCGAGCAAAAGAATTTATTGTGAAGCATCTGGAGGTAGAGATGGGTTGTTCAGTGGAAATGGGAACCATACATGCTGCAGACTATCTGGTGAGTTTGTTGTTAAAATGTTTTAACTTATATCCCTAATTCACCCCTATTCTTTTGTATTTTGGTTTTCTCAATTTTAGATAGATTATTTTTCAATTATCATGCCACCTGGGTTATGATGTGCTAACTACAACCATTTTATGATTCACCTCTGTGCAGAGACGCTTTTGTTCCAATCTGGGAATGACGAATCAAGCAGTTAAAGCTGCCCATGAGGCTGTCCAGAAATCTGAGGAGCTTGACATAAGGTTAGTTCCTTTGTTCTTTTATCTTGCTTAGCAGTATGGAAGTGTGCTATAGCTTGGTCTGCTTCTGATACATGTGCATGTGTATTAGTTGATATGCATGCAAATGTATTGCACTGCTCTTTGTTGAAAGTGTTATGAACTTTATATTTGAAACAAGGCATCTTAATATGACTTGTTGATTCCAATCACAGACCTTTTGCAAGCTCGTGAATAATGCAATTGGCTTCTTTTGGGTTAATTAGCATGCTTAGAAGCAAATTGTTGTGGAATCATAACTGGATAATTGGCTTCTATACAAAAGTCCTTTATCAATTGCATGTTTGCCTTGTTTGAATGAATCTTCTTATGGATTTAAATCATAAGCAGAGGAAGGGGTGCCAAACTGGGAGCGCTAACCTGCCTAGCCCCATAAAGTACTTGAATTACATTTGCTATATGAAAGGGCCACATCTCATATTGTAGGGCCAAAATCAATTAATATAAGGCTATATTCTTTGGGAAAAAAGAAAAAAAAAGAGATTTTAAATTATTATGCTTTTGTTTTGTTTGTGAAAATGACCAATTAAAAGTTGAGACAGTTTTATTCATTGGGAATGTATTATATTTGCACGATATATTATCATTCCTTGTAATTTTGTGGACATGAATGATTGATAACTTTCAGATTGTTCGCAAATGTCAAAAGATCACTTTAGGTGAGCTAAACCTAATGAACTTGTTCTGAAATAAAGAGAAGGAAAATTTTGGGCTCCTTCAACTTGCAAAACACCTTTTTAAGAGTTTTGCAATTTTATATTTCCTTGGTTTTGACATGCCTATTTTTTGCATCCAGAAATGTAATAAGTGATGCTTTTATATGATGAAATGTTATCATGATTGTTAAAAATGATGATTCCTATGTTTTAGCACTGGTATCTCCAAGATTAAAATTTTGGCTCCACCAAAGCACTCACTTGATATACCATCTTTCGCGGATGAAGTCTTGAGGGGAAAGCTTTTCAGAACAATAAGCTAGTTGATTTTTAAAGTCTGATTTCTTTATTTAGTCCGAATTTGGATCTTGTAACTGCCTTTCTGCTTCGCTCTCTCGTTTGCTTTCTAGTTTGTGATTTCTAAATCTGATGCAACATACCTTGCATGGGAATTCTCAAAAAATCATTTATGTTGATTACGGAAACAATATTGATGTTAGTAAATAGAATAAAGGAGAGCAATGAAAACATGTTTGGATTTTAACAATTTCCATTGCTTTTGCAGGAGGAGCCCAATATCAGTTGCAGCAGCTGTTATTTACATCATAACTCAACTATCAGGTGATAAAAAGCCTCTTAAAGGTGAGAACGCTACCGATCCACAAAGTTCCTCGTTGGTCAAGGAAATACTAATGCTCTATGTTTGCAGATATTTCAGTTGTAACCCAAGTGGCTGAAGGTACCATCAAGAACTCGTACAAGGATCTTTCTCCTCATTTGTCTCAGATAATACCCAGCTGGTTTGCCAGGGAAGAAGATATCAAGAACCTGCACTCGTAGAGATGCTTAGAAGTAGTTGATGATCATACTTCCGTTGCAGCATTCTTAAACTGTGATAGTGATTTCCATAGGTAATCATTTGGTTTTATTCTATTTTTCTGGTCATCATATATGTATAGAGTAGGCATTTCTTCCATTTTGTAGCCTTTATTAGAATTGGAAGGCAAGCACTAATCGTGTTTAGCTAATTTATTTGACAAGGAATGGTTCCTTCGTTATAGTCGTTCATGGCGGCGTTCATGTCCCTTCATCTTGTTTGTAAGATCAACAACCTTGCACTACGCAGGGACCACCAGCTCGGCTGGTCAAGTCTATTAACTATGGAGCGTAGGGGCATCCTAAATTATATAGCAGCAAGCAGATATGTGGTGACGCCGGAATCACCTACATTAAAGACAATGAGTACAGAGTGAAAAATCTCCTTCTTTCTCTCTCTTGATTCAAACAATTCAGGGTAAATTTCAATTTGCCCTTTTATTCTCGTGTTTTCTCGACTTTACCCAAAATCTTTTATTTGTTTCAATTAGATTTTGCATTTTTCATTTTTTTTCAATGTAAATTTCAATTTCGTCCTCAAAGTTTATGAAATATTCAATATAGCTTAAAAGGTAAGAACGAACAAATTAAAATTGAAAAAAAAAAACATTTTGTCAAAATTCTCATATCAATTATAGATATATGAAGTGCTTTTATTTTGATTTTGAATTTTTTTCTCATATTTCTTTTTAACAACATATCAATAATAATAATTCAATACTTACAAAATCATTAGTCCATGTGTCAAAATCAACATTAAAAATAAATAAATAAAATCCTTACAAAATCAACATGTTGACATATGTCTAAAAAGTCAAAAAAAAAAAATTACTTCAAAATAATAGCTCAATCATTGAATTTCTCGATAAATTTGATTTGATTTGGTTGATTGAATGGACATAATTATTTTTTATTTTTGTAGTTTACATTATTGTGATTTGTTAAATTTTGTTTTTTTATAATATCATGCATTTATTATGAAAATTTGACCAAGTTTATGATTTATCATGTAATAACTTAATTGGAAAAGATATTTATTTAGAGACCGAGTTGTATTTATTGTAAATATGATGACCAAAAATTTTCAGATATGGACTTATTTGTAAAAAAATAAAGCAAAAGAACTAACTAAATTTATAGAGACAAAAATATACATCAACCAGAAATTTCAGTCTCGTGTTAGATTTTAATAGCACTGTTAAAACCAACTACTCATTCATTAATGAAAAAAAAAAAAAATCAGTCATGGAGTAACAAAAGGGTACGATGACAAAAATATAAAGTTGAAGAATGATTAATGCATTAATTCATTAATTAATGAAAAAGGAGAAATAAAGAAAAGCATTAACTCATCGGTTTTTTTTTTTTTTTTTTTTTAGGAAAAAAAAAGGAAGAAGAAGAAGAAGGAGGAAAATTGAACAACGAGGCTAAGTGCCTAGGTTATTATTTACTGTATAATGGTCCAACAGTTCATAGGACTATGCCTCGTGAGTGACTTCGACTGGACAGCCGTATCTCTTTTCTAACTGATGACTCGAAAATGACCCACTTTCTGCTAAGTCACCTACTAGCATCCAATTGCTCACTCTCTGATTGGCTCAATGTTGTCCTTATGTACCTCAACTTTTTCTTTTGTATCTAAACTTTCTCTATATTTTTTTCTTTTGTATTTAAATGTTTTCTATATTATTTTTTGTGTCAACATCAGTAACGCATATTGTGTTTTTTTTTCTTCATTTTCTTTAAATTTTTAAGTATTAGATTTTAAATATATAGCGCCTAAAATAATGTTGAACATGAAAATTTGAACTTTGAAACTCTTCATCACAGCATAATATCAATCAAGAATATCTATATATATTCATAGACATGGACATGGAGAGGATCTACAACTTCATCAGTTTAAGTTATCGAAGAAGACCGGGAGACAAAACCTTCCAAGATAATAATAATAAATTGTATTTCAACCTTTTCTTTATAATTAAAACCTAAAATAATATTAATAATAATAATAAATTTCGAGCGATCTGATCGCACCCTAATGATTTCATATTCATACAAAAAACTATTTCAAATTTCTTACAAGTTTCATCACTTTATATTGTTAGTTTTAGCACTGTAATTCTTTATATTTTGGAAAATTGAGTTCAAAATTTTAAGGACCAAAACCAAAAAACAGAAAATGGTAGCAATAATTCATCAGGAGCTAGCAGCGAACCTGTCCACAAGAGAGTGGGACAGGAGAATCGATTCCCCTCCCCCCACCTATATGCAAACGATTATTGTAAGAAAAACGAAGTCCAAATCAAGGAAAACTGCGGTAAGCTTTCTCATCTTGATTGATGGAGAAGTATGGATGACTGAATAAAACCTTTTTCTGATGAAGACTGATCACTAGCTGCAGTAAAAAGCAGAGAGAGAGAGAGAGAGAGCTGGTTATTCCCATCGTATGAAGTCAAAAGTGGTCAGAAACTGAACTGATACTTGCCAGTTTCTTACTTCACATACAAGGCCATTATGCACTAGCCATAGATTAACTTAATCTTATCAAATACCTAGAGGAGACCACTACACCTAACGCAAGTCCGTACACAATTTTTCATTTTCTTTTAGATTAAACTAGCATATATCCACGCATGGCCGCATATGACCGGATATGAGTTACATAATATTATCCATTCATTAGTATAAAATTTAATATTTATAAATTATTATTTAACAATATCATACCAGAATAAAAATTTAAAAAACAAAACTACAACATATATTTTATAATTTACTAGAGGATTAGCTAAACGAAAAATTTATAAAATTGAGTAATATAATGTTGCTAATTAGATATTATTTGATATAAATATGTATTTTATTTAAAATATATATAATAACTGATAATAAAAATAATAATGTGGTAGCTTTTTGAAGTTTTGATGATTAATTTTTACTATATATTATTCATCCGTAAATTATTACGAGACAGAAAGACCATCCAAAACAAAAAGACAAAAAAGTTTTATCAAATTGAGAATTTGACAAAAAAAAAAATAGAGATAAAATTACATCCGATAAAAATTAAATGATTAAAACAAAGTAAAGATCATAAAAAAGATAAAAATAAATAAATAAAACTTTCACTAAAAGCATACAAAACAAAACTTATAAACAATAAGACTAAAAAAAATTCATTATACATAAGACATGAACAAAAGTAAATATTATAGAATTTTAATGACCAAAATAAAAAAATAATAACAAAATAAGAATCAAAACAGAAAATTTTTTCACTAAAAAAATAAAACTTAGAATAGTTAAAATGTATTTAATGTTAATGTAGAATGAATAATAATCAAATATAATAAAAGTTTAATGATCAAAATAACAAAATTTAGAATAGTTTAATGATCATAAAACAAAAACCAAAATATAATAAAAATTTTTACTAAAAGTAAAAAATAATTCCTTATAGGGAAAAAATTTAACAATCAACATAAAAAACAATTACAAAACAAAAACTAAAAAAAAAAATCTAATAAATTTAATGACGAAAACAAAAAAAAAAAATCACAAGACAAAAATTTGAATAGAAAGAAAATTTCACTAAAAGGAAAAAAAAAAACCTTAGGATAGTAAAATTTGTTTAGTTTTAGTATAGCAAGGATAAAAATCAAATATGCGAAAACTTTAATGACAAAAATAAAAACATATTAAAAAATAGAAACAAAAAAAGAACATAAATTTTTACCGAAAGCCAAAAAATAAATTTATTATAAGGATAAAAATCACATATAATAAAATTTTATTATTTATGATAAGGATAAAAATCAAATATAAGGAAATTTTATTGACAAAAAAAAAAAATAGAAAGAAGGGACCAAAATAAAAACCAATTTCCTAAGCAGACAACCGAAACGGCAAAAAAAGAAAAAAAAAAAAAAGGCCTACGCGTCGGGCCCGGGCGTCAAGCCTAGGTCGCTACCGAAGACCCAAAAAAAAAAAAAAGAGGTTGCCACTTCCGGCGAATCAAGGTCGTCGAAAACTTCGTTGAAAAATGCGAGTCAAGTTTCGGACTTCTAGAAATTGAATTCTAATATCATTTTTTCCTCCAAACACTTCTAAATGACCGAAATAAAACCAATAAACATATCTAAAATCTTAAAAATCATTTTAATGCACATAAAAATAAAAAAATTACACAATCAAATCGGAATATTGTTTTCTTTTTTTGCTCTAATCTACCTCCTCTATTTGTTTAATAGCTTGAAGCAACCATGGACAAACTCATCTCTTAAAGATAAAAAAATATAGTAGATTTTTGCCGGTGAAAATGGCTTAAATAAACTTGATCGACGATCTCTCTCTATCTCTCCTCCCGTCTCTCTCTTTCGCTCTCTCTTCTCTCTTATCCAGAGACCAAAATGGATGAACAAATGAAGATATAGAACGAAGTAATAGTTGACAAATATTAGGGATTAAAGTATAAAAAAATAAAAAGTAAAATGTTAGTATATGAACATTATCTGAAACAGTAACTTATTGTTTTGTTTTAGTTTATTTAGTTAAAATCTTAGTTGCATGACACGTTCCATAAAGTTTTCTTTTTTGCAAATTATGCAGTTGCACCATACGAAAAAAATAAAAAAACAAAGAGCATATTTTATAGTACATTTTATCAAATAATTTCTGGTTGATTCATCACTTTTACTGGTAGCAAATTATAAATTAGTCCCTCTAATTTTAAAGAATAAATTAATTAGTTTTTTTAACCAACAATGACCACATTTCATTGAAAATATATTCTTCTCTCATTAATTTTTTTCATAGTATCTATTTATTTTTTAAAATTAATAAAGACTATAAAATGGAAAAAAAAATAATTAGTTTTTTTTAAAAAAATAAAACAAAATTAATTAATTCGTTTTTTAAAAACTAAAAACTAGAGGGACTAATTTATAATTTACTCCTTTTGTTGGTGTGGCCTGTTACTTTTTGGACCACCGTCCCACTAATCAGCACGAAAGATAAAGTTGTCAAATGCATTGTGTATTTGACAAAGGGTTACCCTTATCATCTTTCTGGTTCTTTCCCTACTGTCTTTTTGCTATCCTCGTCACTCACTTTTGTACTAGCGAATGCATACTCAAACCCCATCAAGAAGAGCCTTTAGAAAAATAACTAACAAGAAAGCGAGAATCACAAAAGTAAGTGCTTTACAATTAGCCTAGAGAACGAAAAACCATGTTTGTACCTCAAACAATGACCGAGATGTGGGCAACAATGGGTTCAACCATTGCCAGTTTCATGTTCATTTCGGCTATTATCCGGCAATACTGCCCGTACGAGCTTCGCCTCTACTTTGGCAAGTATACAAAATTAATCATGAGCTTTTTCTATCCTTACATTAAGATATCAATCCATGAGTACACCGGAGATCGCCTCAAGAGAAGCGAAGCCTATGCTGCTGTGGAGGCATATCTTAGCATTAACTCATCCAAGTGCGCTAAGAGACTTAAGGCAGAGATGGCAAAAGATTGCAGCAAGCTGGTGCTTAGTATGGATGAGTATGAGAGAGTGAAAGATGAATTTAAGGGTATCAAAGTTTGGTGGGTTTCAAGCAAAGTGATGCCGCCATCACAATCCATGTATCCTCAGCAAGAAAGAAGGTTTTATAGGCTCACGTTTCATAAGCGGCACAGGGAAATCATAACCGAGGAGTACTTGAAGCATGTGATGCAGCAAGGGAAAGACATTAGGTTGAAAAATAGACAGAGGAAGCTTTACACCAACGGTTCTGCAAACAAGTGGCAAATCTACAAGCAGACCGGGTGGAGCCATATAGTGTTTGAGCATCCTGCCACATTCCAGACGTTAGCCATGGAGCCTGCAAAGAAGCAGGAGATTATAGAAGATCTGGTGACTTTTAGCAAAAGCAAGGATTTCTATGCCAGAATTGGAAAGGCGTGGAAAAGAGGATATCTTCTTTACGGTCCACCAGGAACCGGAAAGTCTACCATGATTGCTGCAATGGCTAACTTGTTAAACTACGATGTTTATGATCTTGAGCTCACTGCTGTGAGAGACAATACCGAGCTAAGGAAGCTTTTGATTGAGACCACTAGTAAATCCATCATAGTGATCGAAGACATTGATTGCTCGCTTGATCTGACTGGCCAAAGGAATAAGAAAGACGAGAAATCTCCAGATGAGGACAAGAAGAAGTCGGAGAAAGAAACTCGCAAAGAACATAAAGAAGAGACTAGCAGCAGAGTGACACTTTCAGGGTTGTTGAATTTCATTGATGGGATATGGTCTGCTTGTGGAGGGGAGAGGCTTGTTGTGTTCACTACAAATTACGTGGAGAAGCTGGATCCTGCGCTGATAAGAAGGGGAAGAATGGACAAGCATATTGAGCTCTCTTACTGCAGTTTTGAGGCATTCAAGGTGCTTTCAAGTAATTACCTGACACTTGAAGCGCATCCTTTGTTTGATAAAATTGAAAGCTTAATGAAGGAGACCAAGATCACACCAGCAGATGTTGCAGAGAACCTCATGCCCAAGTCCCCATTGGATGATGCAGAGAAGCGTCTCTCGCACTTAATTCAAGCTCTTGAGGAAGCAAAAGCAGCAGCAGAGGCTACAGAAAAAGCTGAGAAAGAAGCATCCAGAATAAACGCTCAAGCTGATGAGGCTACCAAGCCAGCAGAGGGCTCTGCCAAGGAAGATGCTGCCCAGCCACAAGAAAATAGTCACTTCAAAAGCCAAATTGCGCATTAGCAGTATCGTTGAGTTGTATTAACTCCCATTTAAGTTTTCTGGTCCAAGGTTGCCAGAGGTAATAATGAAGAAGAAAATTCATAAGTCTGCGCCCACGAAGCCCATTTAGAACTATGCTCTAGATAACTTACACAATCCATGCCAGTTGCATCACATAAGAATTACAAAGATCATGATATAGCTCAATTGGGTCAGATTTCAACGTGACGTACACCTGGCATAAAAGTTTGTTTATTACAATCCCTAAATGGTGATGATTACAATTAAGGAAAAAAGGTTAAATTGGCAAATGAAACATTATTTACCCGTTTTAAGTAAGGATGGTCCATAACATACAGAAAACAGCCCCCTGACCTGATCATTTTATCAACATATCCAACCAAAATGCTCATGGGGCAGACCATAGCCATTATCATGAAAGATTTAACCACAAGGCCTGAACATCTAAAAGCCAAATTTTTCAGTTACAATATCAGTTAAAGGTTATTGTACATTAATTGGATAAGATAAAGAACTCCCAATGGATTCTCATCTACCCGTTGTAGGCTTCTATGAATGTAGACATGCTAAAAAATGACTACCTAATCTACAGAACTCTCAGCATCAAGTTTCTCCTCGCTGCAAATCCTGAATGAGTTGCGTCAAGGTTGTTGCTTAGCTTATGCCATGGAAGAACTCCAATGGTAATTTCCTCCACAGGCTTATCACAAAATTTATAACATTTACTCTCTTACATTGAGCTTCCCAGAGAAAACTACGAATCTTCTTCTTTTGCCAGTTGAGAGGGAACCTCAAAAATCATTTCTATCTTCATCTTTCATTACTGTGTTCAGACCATCATCAAAACCAGAACCTGGCGCAAGTTCATTGAGATCGAGGAAACGCCTTTTCCTTCCACCCTCAACTTCATCTTGGACTGGGCTATTTGATTTCTCAGGAGGCTGATTTTGCTCTTTCTGTTCTGTCACGGTGTCACCTTCAACAGGCTGATCAACTTTCATATCTTGTTCATTCTCATTGCCATCAGAATCTTGACTTTGACTTCCAGCTGAAAACTCTGCATTCTCACTTGCATCTGAGGGCTCATCTGATGCATTTGATTTCTCGCATTTCATTGACTCTGTTTCTGACTCGGACAACTCATATTGTCGGTAATTAATCTGGTTTCGAGTGGCCCTTCTACTGCGTCTTAGACCTGACTGGATTTCATCAACTGACCTTAATTTTGCCTCCCTGCGTGTACGGCCTGGCAATTTCTTGAATTTTTGGGGCTCCTCACTATCCTCACTGATGCTTAAGGAATCCTCTTCTTCATCTTCTTCCTCCTCTTCACCATTTTCATCATCCCACTGATACTCTTCATCCCCTTCAGAGCTGCTAGATAGCCTCTTCTCCTTACGTTTCCTCAAGTATTCATCATCATAGACAGCTTCTCCAACTATATCATCATCACTGTCAAAGTCTGCTTCATTATCAGAAACTGCCTCAACAAACTCTTTTGCTGAATACCGTTGAGGCCTCTGTCTTCGCCTGTTGCTGCAAGCCATCATGCAATGATAAGTTTATGTGCAAGATCAAGGAAACATGATAAGTTGTGAAAGACAGAAACTTACCTCCGATCCAATGTTTCAGATTTATGGTCTTCGTCCATGTCATCATCATACTCAAGAGAATTAGGAGATGCGGCACTGAAAGCGCCATCCTGTGATGTGTGTGAAGGACCACTCCATTTACCATTTGTAGAAGCTTCAGGTTTAGCAAAGCCTTCTCTTCTGTGAACAGGTTCAGGAGATGGTGGTTTACGCCTAACAAAAAGAGTAAAGAATGCTAAATAAAAAATTGATATTCCATGGTACAGAGATCAAACAAATTCCTCCAAGCATGGGAAGAAAAAAACTACATGAAGAATGTACATGATCAATATCTTACTTTGTTATTTTGATAGCCTCGCTGATTGACCGATCGTAATCATCTGCAAAAATATTTGGTACAGCAATCAGATTGCCCATCTTTGTATAAGAACAATTATTACTGTAATAAAAACACACCCTCACTAAGGAGTACTCATCAGCCAGCACAACAGTCTGAAAGTTGAGTGAAACTGAGGTAATATATGCAAGTTTTAATCTAAGTTTTCGAGAAAAAATAACACAATAGAGATTAAGTTGAAACAAATAGATTCCCCAGTTAACTTTCCAATGTCAATGCTAGTTCTCCCTTCAACATCCCCCATGTTACCAAAACAAAACTCCCGGAATTGTAAACATAAAGGACTCAACATTATAGGCAACATCTATTTGAAAGAACTCGCAATAGGAAAATACAACATATGTCGAGAGAAATAAATCGTGACAACTACTAAAGCTCTTGCTACTGCACGTTCGTAAGTTTTCTTTGCTTACCAAAAGTATAAGTGACAGGCTTCCTATCACGGAGAGAACGCCCGGGTGCAAGTCCATCCATGTTCAAGAAATTATCAAGAAGTAGAGCCTGCCTGTGTTGCTTTTTCAGCAACCTCTCTTTCCTCTGAGCGGAAACAAGCATAAAAGGAAACCTGAATATGATTTCATTCTAGGAAAACAGAACTTAAAGCAGATTTCAATCAAGAATAACTTGAGGCAAGAAAGAAATTCTTGGTTAATGAAATCGAATGAAGTAAACCATGTTAATCACTAAGCAATTTTCAGTACCTTGTAAACCTTCTCAATCTCAGGAAGCATGTCATTCTTTAATTTCTTCCCCAACGAGGCCTCTGTTCTATTTTTACTAGTAAAGAGCTTCTCCTGCAGCAGTTTAAGGACAAGGCTGAATGAAGAACAATACCCCATAAAAGTATTTAGCAAATGGCCATATAGAGGCAGTTGGAAACCACCAGGTGAACCAAAAGTATCACCACGGTTGAAATACCACTGGCACTATAAAGTTAGTGTATAGAACTGTCAACCATTTGCACTATCAACAACAGCACTCCCAAGATCAGTAAAAAGCTAGTCTGAGATAGCAAGACTGAATCATAATTAGCTTATCATACCAACTTAATTTTTAATTTGCCTTTTCATGTTTTTAAACCTATCAAAAGGACCGTCAGCAATTGCAGCTGACTAAAAAGAATCCATTACTAAGATGATTCTTCTGATGCACACATCAAACATCTATATAGACTTCCTGCAACCTAAAGTACATCTAATACCCATCCATTTTCACCTTGCATATGTCAATAGGCACATGCAAGCAAAAACTTTTAAGTACATATTTATAATCTCACCATCTAGGATAGAAAATGATTGGTAGTTCCACTTTTTTTAATAGCCAAATTTAAAAGAAGGTGGGAGGGCACCATAATCTAACTTTCATCAAAAGGCCCAAAATCATACAACCTGACATTCCTTGTGCACACCATCATTGGATAATTATCGTTCATTCTTTATAGTGGTAATCCTCTATTAGATTAATATCTTACATTCATAACATCCATAATTTTGTTTCATAAGAATTTCCAATAATGCATACTGTCCACTGAGATCAACATGCACTACACAGTCAAAAAGTAATATAATAACAACACATTCTCATCCGCACAAAAAGATAAAACAGGAATGCAAATTTACCATGAATGCCAGTAAAATAAAAGGGAAAAAAAGATTCAGATAATAAAAACCATGACAACCTTGTATCAAAATTTGAACAAAGCACATACATACAATCATGCCATTGAAGTAACTTACAGAAACATCTTGAAATTCTTCGAAATTAGTTGCAACTGTCTCCCACAGGTATGTTACGTTAGGTATGATCTGAGATCCCTTTGCCTTCGCTTTAGCCTTCACCTCAGTTTTTCTTATTTCCCGGTATAACCTTTGACCAATCAGTGGATCATCTTCATACCTGCATCAACAAAAAAACTGTAATTATAGAATTTACACTACACAAAGGACAAAAACAATAGGGGAAAAAAAACAGGATACGATAAAATCTCTAGTTATCACATAAAAATATCCAGCTGACCATTTCAATTACTTCCAAAACTAATAAGCAAACACAACCATAGTAAGTTAAATGCTTCATGAGAGGCGTATCTAAATTACCAGTAATTAATTCCTTGTGAATCACCCCCAATACGTTCCTTGCGAAACAATGAAAGTTGAATGCCATGCTTGAGGGAGTTATCAATGTAATTCCGTATATCTTCTTGCTGCAAAAGATCACTCAGATTCAATTCCTTAACTACAGAAAAAACAAGTTCCAAGAAACTAGTTCAAAGCCACCAAGGTGTTCAAAACATTCAAAGAAAAAATGAAGAAACAAAATACGATCCCAAGAAAAAAGAAAATGACAAATGACAAACCCCAACATCAATTAATTTCTAGCAAAATGTCCCAACAAAAAGCCTTCAATGCAAGATTATATTGTAAGCCCACAAACTAATTCAGTTGGACATAAGGAGATAAATTGCGGAAGCCTTCAACTGCAAGGTTCTCTACCATACTTAGGTGATTGATTGAAGGTTTGACAATAAGGGAATACTTCTATCTGGAGATAATTAACACAATTAGAAATAAACACAAGCTGCTTCTAGAATGATGTGTACAATACATAATAAAGAATTGCATGTAAATTATTCTGGGGACACATAAGAGAGGAATATGTTCTGTGATTACTAGGCTGCCAAAGCTTTGTGATGAAAAAGTATTGGACAATAAAAGGTAACATTTTGAATAGTGAAGTATGTGTAAATAGGAAACAAAGATGTTGACACAGATGAAAAGAATACAAAGCAAAAGGTCTACCATTGTATTCCACTCTACAGCAAAATGAGGGGCTCAGTAACACACTACAAATACATAAACACAAGAATTGGGACCTATTTGATTCAAGCTGAAGGGACAACAAGACAAAACAAATGCCAAAAAGCCTGGAGGTCAACATTGTGCAAAAACAAAGGAAAAAGGTTCTTATGTAGAGTCAAATTCTCCAAAACTTTCATTTATCTGTCCCAACAAAATGGCCATCAAGGTATTATGCTCTGTTCTCTACCAATCAAACAAATCACGACATGAATTTAAAGCTACAATTGATATGTATTGCCGATTTGAACAGTAAACTGAGATCCCATGGGCAGTTTAATGAACAAAAATCCAACATGATTATAGCCAAGGCAATTATTTCAAATCAAGAATCACTATATACAATCTTTGCTGCCAGTGATGATACCTCAACACGAATGTCACATAGTGCTTTCAGTATCACCACACGGACCCCAGGATCGAGTGTTTTATACACTTCAACCTCCACCCTACAACAATAAAGTCAGAATACAAATCAAGATCATAAAAATAAATAAATAAATATTCGATTCAAGAGTATCCAGGAATGCAAAACTAACCCATGCGAAGCAACTAAGGGAAGTTCCCCATCTGCAACCTGCGACAAGACACCAAACTCATCTTAAAAATGAGGTTCACAATAACACCCACCCTCCCTCCCTCCCTCCCTCCTCCTCCTCCTTATCCATAGTTCAATATTGTCAACATCAATTAAAAAACAGTGCAGTGAGTGAGTTACCCAGTGCCACCAGTCTCTTAATTTTCTGCACAAAACAGTAATCCAGGTATCGCGTGTAAGGGCCATTCTGGTAATAGGAGGGATTGCCTAAAAAGAGATAAATCAAAAGCAATTAGTAACCAATGTTGCAATAGCTCACATCAAATGCAATATGAGCTGGTTTTCCATCAGGAAGAACATAAATATGATCATGTTGCACTTAACTGAAATACAGCATTAAAACGCAATTTGATTTCAGCAGCAGTTAGTTTTTCCAAGCATAATCTAAGTTAGTCAAACCATACCTAAGGAAAAGTTTCCATTGTCAAATAAGATGACTAAACAAGATACAACAGATAGTTTTCTGCAAACAGATGATCAGATTGTACCATTTAAGGTGAAATTTAGAGCATTTTTGGAAGGTTGATATTCAATCTATCTAGTTTTTGGGATAATGCATTCTAGGCATTACCTTGGAGGGAAAACATGCCATTATTAAGTGAAAATTATGTTATAGAGATAGTATCAATTAGAAAATAGTAGATATACAACATATAACAGAGAAAAGAAAAAGATGCTGAGGAATGTGGAACACATTGCTTTGGCGCCCTATCTTCAGTAAATATCAATTAGTTCAAGCATGTGATTGCAAAGTGCAAAATAGCAAACATGTGAACTGCTGTACTTCCCAACTAAAAGTTAACAATAGAATAATCTCTGCTTTACTTCTATAGTTCAAAACCTTTTTCTTGAAACTCTCAAGCATGAATTCAAACTAAAGCAAACCAATTGAATTATGTAGCCAAAAAGAATCCATCCTTAAGTCACAGATGAAGATAACCTTGAAAGGAACCAAAAACATTCTCAACAAATTTCATAGATCACACTACATGATAGAACTTATGTCAGGCATCTCCCATTTAAAAAAGATCATCTTAATATAGTGCTCAAACCTGCATGGATAATGGAATTATTTCTGCTGCATTTTATTCTACAGTGGTGGAAAAAAAAAACTGGGAAAACACATTAGCTAAAAGACCTAACCTAGCAGCACATGCAACCAACCAATAAGCTACAGCTTACTTCAGAATCATGCAAATCAGGTCTGCATTAGTGAGAATCAAGCAACCTCCAAAATCAATGATTTCATCAAACTAAGAAATAATATCAGTATAGGAACTCCAGAAACTTGTGATATCATATCAAATCAAGACAGCAAAATTGATAATATAGTTCTAATTTATAAGAAGTTCCTGCATGAAAAATCATAGATCACCACTGCCATTCCCAATCCAAAATAACGATCCAAGTCATCTTGCACCTTTTTATGTTGCAAAACTCCATATTTGCTTCTATAAATTATGATAGTTAATCAGGTTTTTTTCCCCCTCTCTTTTGAAAATGTGTTTGTTAGACATAAAAGAATGCATAACAACCACTAGGAGGATAACTACTCAAGTTTATCACTTTACTATCAAACTTGAGAAAACCCTAATCTGATTTTAAAGGTGCACACCTGCAACATCACATCAAATCAGGTTGGGTACAAAAATCAGGTTGCATGATAAAGTTCTTATTTATAAGAAGAACCTGTATGAAAAATGGTAGGTCACCAGTACCATTACCAATCCAAAATAATGATCCATAATTGCTTCTATAAATTATGATAGCTAATCATGTTTTTTTTTACCCTCTCTTTTGAAGAAGTATTTGTTAAACATAAAAGAATGCATGATAACCACAAGGTGAATAACTACTCAGGTTTATCACTTTGCCATCAAACTTGAGAAAACTGTATCTGATTTTAAATGTGCAAACCTGCAACATCACATCAAATCAGGTTGGGTACTTAAATCAGGTTAGATAATATAGTTCTAATTTATAAGAAGTTCCTGCATGAAAAATCGTAGGTCACCATTGCCATTCCCAATCCAAAATAATGATCCAAGTCATCTTCCACCTTTTTATGTTGTAAAACTCCACATTTGCTTCAGTAAATTATTATAGGTAATCATTTTTCCCCCTCTCTTGAAGAAGTATTTGTTAGGCATAAAAGAATGCATGATAACCACTAGGAGATTAACTACGCAGGTTTATCACTTTACCATCAAACTTGAGAAAACACTAATCTGATTTTAAAGATGCACACCAGCAACATCACATCAAATCAGGTTGGGTAGATAAATCACTGCTTCCCGTTAGGCTACAAAAGACTAGCCATTTATCCAGAACATGTTTAGGAGTGTTTCCATGGTTCCACCTACATATCACATTTTGCGCCTCTCTCTAGGCGACTAATTCGAACTTATAGTGAATTCCCAATGCCTATGACAAATTTTTCAAAGTGTCAACTTAGAGGCCCCAGTACAAAATATCCCCAGACTTAAACATGAAAGGCATATGGTCCCAATATGTCCCTAACACATAGAGGCAAGAACCAACACTAAAACCCTCAAACCTCCAGTTTTTCTTTCTATTGTAGAATAAACACCATGCATCTAACAACATACTTTAAAAGGTAAAGTTCCATAACTGAAGAAACAAGAAAGTAGCAATCAATACTCAAATTGACACAATATAAAAACTTAAATGTTTGAGGTATTTAATTTCCCATGAAAATGCTATCGTGCATCTGTTTCAACCTTCTCTTGACTTTGAAGCAGCATGACATCAAATTCTCATGCCACATAAATGGTCTCCTGAATAAAATCAACCACAACTAGCTCCCAAATTGTTAATGCAATAATCAACTCTCGTAACACTAGAAAGTTGAAACAAAAATGCAAATAATGTGATGTTACTAACATTGGATCCTCAGCTAATCCTTCACCAAAAAAAAAAAAACAAAAAAAAAGCCATAATATACTAAGCTCCCACGTAACATCAGCTAATTCAATTCATTTGCACCCAAAGTAAAAACCTTTGCAATAACTTGAGCTTGTTAACATGCGAAAAAAGCGACAACAAGAAAGCACAAAATGTTAAACTGAAAACTAAAACATTAAAGTTGAAAAAGAAAGCACCAACCTTTAACAAAGGCATATGTATATCCCCCAAAGTATCATTAGGTGTAATCAAAGCTGTCTCAAACTCCTCAGCTGAAAACTCAACTCGTATATTCAATAGATGCCTAAATACCTGCAACATTGAATTAAAAATGAATAAAATGAAGTCTGAAAGAAATGAAGTTGGAAAAAAAGGAAGTTGAAAGGAAACTCACATTTAAAAAATTGAGTACTGAAGCTAATTCCCACATGGAGCGGAGGCTCCACCTCGGCAACTGTGCCGGCTCCGGAGGCGCCACCAGCTGCGTCACGATCTTGCTACTTCCACCACTGCATTGCTCTTTCTGCTGCACCGAAAACTCATCTAACTGCTGTTGCTGTTCATGTTTCTTCGGCTTCTGCTTCCGCTCGATCACCGCCTGCTGCTGCTGCTGCAGCCTGGCCGCCGCCCGTATTGTACAAGCTCGCGACGGCCGATTGCTCCTGTTAACTGGGGGCTTTTGTGTCTGTACGAGGTCGTTTAGAGGAGTATCGGCGTCGTTTTGGGAGATCGGAGAAGGAGAGGGTTGTTCACGAGACATGGTTAAGGAGAGAGAGATCGAGAGGGTTTATGTTAGTTAATGTAGGATTACATGTAGACGATCCTCAATTTTTTTTTGTTTTGTTTTGTTTTTGCGAAGAGAGAAAGAAAGAAGATGGAGGACCTAAGGTCCTACCCATCATCCATTAATTAAAATTAAAATTAGAAGTATTGTGCTTGTGCTTTTAATGTTTGTAGTAATTTATTATCAGAGTTGGAAAAGTAATGCTAATTAAGGATGAGAAAAATAGGGAAAGGCTTGTGAAGTTGGAGATTAGAGAGAGAGAGAGAGGGAGAGAGAGAGAGAGAGAAGTGAAGGAGAAGGAGGGGACAATAGCCTGGGAATTTTGGGGAGAGTTTTTGGAGGGGTTACTATTACTTTTTAACCCTGGGTCAATTTTGGGTGTCATAAAACACTTCTTCTTTGCTAGGTTTTTAGTTGATATAATGATAATTAAGTAACCTAACCTGGTTTTCCATAATCATCATAATTATGTTATAATCAGATGAACTAGTTTGGCTTTTGGCTTCATTCATTTTAATCTGGTTGGGTTGGGTTGGGTTGGGTTCGGGTAATTTGCAATTAATGCTGGTTTAATTACTAAAACAAAATGGTGATTAGCGTTTAGTGTTTACCCTAGCCTGCCTCTGCTCTTTTCTCGCTCGCTAGGGTTTGCTCTGCGACTTGCCAGCTTTTAATTTATCGTAGTACTGTGTACTCTATTTTTATTTATTTATTTTTTTTTTTGGGTTTTCAGATTTTTATTCTAACTTCATAATGACTGGAAGGAACCCAGAGTTCACATTTTCCTTGGAGGAAAAGAGAGAGAGAGAGAGAGACAAGACAACTGTTATTTCGTTTCGTTTCTTTAACTAGAGAAACCAATTTAACCGCAAGAAAATAGAAGAGTAATTAGTTAAAAGTGTTTTTTTCTTTCTTGTTGCTCGGCATATGAGAATTTTTTTTTTTTTAATTTCACTAATTTCCTTTATTTTGATTTTGGCATTTTGCGGTAGACTGACCTGAGACACAATTGACTTCAGCCCATTCTTCGCTACTGGCTTTCACAGTCGCACATGGATAAAGTACAATTTAACTATTCATTAAAATTTACAAGCATTATCTCGTTATGTGTAAGGATGATAATGGATTGAATGGAAATGGGTTTTAAGTACCCAGACTCGATTCGGTAAATACATAAACACCTTTGCTTTTGACCTATATTTGGTTAGTTTAGATTGAATGAAAGTTTTTTTTTTCGTTCATTGAGTATTTATTTAAATTTTTGTAGTGCCTTATAAAATCTCATCTTAATATATTAGTGAAAAAAAAAGTCTCACATAAATAATAACCTTATTTTTTAAGTCACATTTAAAATATAGAAGTACGTCATTAGATATTGTAATAAAAATATAAGTAATACTTAGCAGTTTTATTACATTAGTAGAAGATGAGATTAAATCATTGCTTGAAATTCCACAATTCAAGTATCAAGATAATCTCTTTTTTATTTTACTCTTATGGAGAAAGTCAAAAACTTTTTGTTTCTCTACCTTTTTATCTATTCCATTGTACGTAACCTTTTCTTTTTTTCTTTTTTTTTCCCTTGCCATATATATGAGAGCTAGGGTAAATAACTTTTTTTGTAACTACACAACATGTTGGGTTAGATACGATGTGAGACTCTCTGCAATATCAATAGTAAAACAAAAATAAAATATTTTAATATTGGCAAATGGGTCATGCGACTTAGCTAGCATTCCTACATTTTGAGAGCTTATTACCGTGCATCTCTTACAAATAACATAATAGCTACCACCTAAAATTAATAAACGATATATGAGATATAATATATCATAAATCTTACAATACTTAGATAGTTCTTTGTATTTAATATCTTATTATGTTAAATTTCTCAATCGGCATATAGTCCGATTTCATATTGTATATCCATAATCGTGTCCACGCTACTCTCAAACGATGCTTCTTTCAAGCAACATGATTGATCGCCCAATGAATATACGTAACACGTCTTTCTTTCTTGCTCAAAATTCTTAACTCATAATTTGGTCGTTTTTCTAGACTACTTCTATAGATTGAATCATATATGATCATAAGTAACTAGCTAAGGTAGCAAACACCTAGCCTAAATCCGAATGGTAGTAAAAAGTAATAAGGGTATTGATTAGAGGATATTATTGTTCATCTAAAGATCTCACATAATGGAGAAGCAGAGATTCATTCTCCAATTATCTTTTACAATCATATTAGCATACGTGATATGAATCACATCTTATAGTGTTCTCGGTTATCATATTTTATAAATACTCTACGGATCTTAATTTAGTCATCAAACACAAACGACTAACTTAATTTCCCAAAGTATTTTCTCTCAACGGATATTATCACCGAGATCTCAAATCTGGATTTCACAAGTTATTTGGATTGAGCTTTTCAAATAGATTGTAAAATATATATTAGTTTACAATCTCATTTTAATTTTATATTAAGGCGACACTTTCTTAATTTATGCCCTCTTTACTTGCTCTCAACGGTGCTAGAAGAGTTAATTTTGTCTCATCTCCACTCACTTCCAACAATGCCGTAGGGATTACTCATGTAAGAAAGCCAATCTAAACCCGTGTAACTTTCAAAATTAAGCTTTTATCATAGTAACATGCATGTGTGTATGTGTGTGTGTATTTCAAGTTGCATTCGTAAAAAAAGTAGTACAATATATAAAACTCAATTGTTTATTATTATGATAAAGTTGCAATTTATGTATTCTAAGAGATTTAACATGTCCAAATACACACTTTTTGGTATGAGTCTGTGAGAGGATTTGCTATCATTTTATGCATAGATATATAATGTACTAACACTTTTTTTCGATGATGTCTTTCACGTAATTATACTTAGTGTCAATATGTTTAGTTCTACCATGGTACTTGGATCTTGGTATAATTAATAATTATCCGATTGTCACAATAAACTATAATAGGCCTCGAGCTATCACTATGGACTTCCAAACCCTCAAGAAATCTCTTCAACTAAACTAAGTTTTGCACAAGAATCGATTAGGAATAAATTTAGCCTTCTTAGTAGACAAAGCTATGCGGGTTTGTTTCTTACTTTTTCAAGATATAACTATTATCGAGTAGAAAAGCATAGTCAATAGTGGATTTGCATTCATCAAGTGCTCTTCCCAAATCAATATCTAAGTGTCCGATCGGATGTAAATTTTTCTTTTAATAACACAAACAATAATCTATAGTCCGATCGGATGTAAATTTTTCTTTTAATAACACAAAAAATAATCTATAATGCCTTTGAGATATCTCAAAAGCTTTTTTTATAACCTTCTAATGTTTTTAACCAGGATTTGACTAAAATAGGCTAACCAAACCAATGACAAAATATACATATGAGTGAGTACATATCATTGTATATATAAAACTTCTAACTATACTTAAATATGACACTTTAGACATCTCTTCTTTTTATTGTGGAGTTTTAGAATACATTTCATAACTTAAAGCCTCATCTTTTGATATAGAGGTTTCTATAGATTTACAATTACTCATATACACGCTTTCTAGAACTTTTTAGATACAATGCTCTTATGACAAGGCTAGAAAGTTTTTTGGACAATCTCTAATGATCTTAACTTCTAAAATGTAGTTTATTGGTGGCATGTCATATCGTCAACAAATTAGTAATTTATAATGTATCCTTATAGAGTTTTTAATCATAATTATGTAACCGGGACAAGTAAGGGTCGAACCCAAAAAAAAAGAAATTAGTCAATTGTTTCAGTTGTTTGAACGTTATCGTGTGTAAAAGAGGGGTTTGTAGGTTTGGAATACTTGAAAATAATATAAAGTAGTAAGAGATAATAGTATAAGAGTAACCTTGATTAAACTTCAGTATCCACTTTTGGTTTGATCGTTGATCATTGATTAAATAATTAACTCATCCTAACATAAATATTCATTATAAGAAAATAATTTGTATATTGACTCAAATCTTTCTTTATCTAGTTGTTAACTAAATATACGATACCTAACTAATTCTCTAGCTATTGAACAACATACTAAACGCTAGATAGATTTAATCCAATAACAATATTAAGATGAGAAAGATATATGAAGCTAAGCCACCTTCTTAAGCGCTAGAAAAGATGTAACTTAGTTTTATGTTTTCCAAAGAATTAAACAAAAACATCACTAATCATCAACCCCCGGTTACTACCACGAGCAAGTTTAGATAAGCAATTTCATGGACTTGAATACTTAGCTAGCAATAAGTAATATGAATAAATAACTAGCATGTACTCTAATTGAATTAATCATACAACTATAAATCAATCATGCAGAAAAAACATAAAATATCCAATAGAGATAAGTTTAGAAATAAAACCAATAATCTTATAGTGATTAACCAAAAGCTTCAACTTGATTCAACCAAGAATGGAGTTTAGTTATTCATAATGTATTATAAAAAGAATTTCTATTAGCGGGTGTTGTAGAAGAGCTAGAAGAGAAAAGAGAGCCAAATAATATCCTAGATTTTCTATTTATAACCAAAACTAGGGTTACATCATATTTGAGTTGGCATTACATGGTCACACAGTTTGATAGATAAAGTCACATGGTTTGTTACTTGATATCACACGGTTTGAAGCCTTAGAAATTAAGTGTTGCATGACTTGCTAACTAAGGCACACGATCATATAACTTTGTTCTTCATTTCTTGTAGCCAAGCTTTTACCTATGTAGACCTTTTTTTCCTTAGAGACACGGACGTGTGGCTTTACATTGCAAACCTTATAAAAAGCCTATTACCCATGTGATCTTCTTCTCTCCTTTTGTTTTGCTAGGTTCAATCACCCACACGATCATGTGGAATGCTACCTTTAGCCTTGTGGAAATGGTTATGCTCGTATGGCTTGCTACGTTTCGAGGCTTCATATGATTTCCTCCTTTAAATCACATAGCAAG